CTAAGCAGAAGCAAATGACACTTCCAGGCTCTCCCCGCGATTGTGGCAGTTCAGACGGCAGAGAATAAGTTGCATGTTCTGGATGCTCTCGCATGGCAATAAAAACTCACTGCACGTAAAAAACAAAAACGAAACCTAGAGTCCCAGAGGGTGAAGTTCTGCCTAGCCCATGGGTAGGCAAACTATAGCCTGAGGGACGGATGCAGCCCAATCGCCTTCTCAATCCGGCCCACGGACGGTCCGGGAATCAGCGTGTTTTTCCATGAGTAGAATGTGTCCTTTTACAGTGTTACCTCGGGTTACAGAAATTTCAGGTTACAGATGCTTCAGGTTACAGACTCCACTAACCTAGAAATAGTACCTCAGGTTAAGAACTTTGCTTCAGGATGAGAACAGAAATCTCATGGCGGCAATGGGAGGCCCCAATAGCTAAAGTGGTACCTCAGGTTAAGAACAGTTTCAGGTTAAGATCGGACCTCCAGAACGAATTAAGTTCTTAACCCGAGGTACCACTGTATTTAAAATGCACCTCTGGGGCAAAGGAATTCGTTCATCCCCCCCCCCAAAAAATATAGTCCGGCCCCCCACAAGGTCTGAGGGACAGTGGACCAGCCCTCTGCTGAAAAAGTTTGCTGACCCCTGGCTAGCCTTTCTCCCTAGCATGTTATTTTTCGATGAGCAGGGAGGGGACTTTGGGGCGGTGATAAGGAACATGGAACCCCCACTGCCCACCTCAAGAAGTGTTATTGTCCAGGGGATGCACCCAGGGAGGCCTGATCCAGAGGGTGGCACTGCCTGCCAGTCGCCTACTCCCCAGAGCTGTGGGGCAGGCATTACAACCACTGCTGTTTTTTCTTGGGGATACAGCCACGGGGCAACTCGGAAGTGAGGAGGATAGGGGGCTCTGCCTCTCCTTGGCTCTGCTCGAGAGCCAGTGTGGTGTAGTGGTTAAGAGCGGTAGTCTCGTAATCTGGGGAACCGGGTTTGAGTCTCCGCTCCTCCACCTGCAGCTGCTGGGTGACCTTGGGCCAGTCACACTTCTCTGAAGTCTCTCAGCCCCACTCACCTCACAGAGTGTTTGTTGTGGGGGAGGAGGAAGGGAAAGGAGAATGTTAGCCGCTTTGAGACTCCTTAAAGGGAGTGAAAGGCGGGATATCAAATCCAAACTCTTCTTCTTCTTCTTCTTCTGCTCCACCTACTGGGGGGTTCCAGTGGGCACCAGTGAGTTACCACTTTTCCCGGCTGAATCTAGAGGTCCCAGGCCCTAAGGAAGTCAGATTAGCCTCAACCAGGGCCAGGGCCTTTTCAACTCTGGCTCCACCCTGGTGGCACGCTCTGCCTCATGAGTCCAGGGCCCTGCAGGATCTGATTTCTTTCCGCAGTGCCTGTAAGACAGAGTTGTTCCGCCTGGCCTTTGGCTTGGAATCAACTTGATCCCCTTCCCCTCTTTCTTTTTTCCTTTCTCCTTCTGTGATGGAACTCCTATTTGGGGACTTCCCTGGCTTTTTTCTGGCCCATGTTTAGACCAGTTTGGATAGTTAGCCTTGGTGAAGATGACGTTTTTATCCCCCAAAAAGTTTTTGATTTGAGTTTCCACTGCATTTTAATGTTTTAATTTTTAATTTTGTATTTTAATCTTGTTTTTAAAGTTGTATTTCGATCTATTGTTTTATATTGGGTGTTAGCAGCCCTGAGCCCGGTGTTGGCTGGGGAGGGCGGGGTATAAATAAAAGCATTATTATTTATTATTATTATTATTATTATTATTATTATTATTATTATTGACCGTTCCACGGGCGGCCTTTTCTATTAGGATGGAACGACGCCGCTCTGCGGGAGAAGGGAGCTGGGCTCTGTACCGCAGGGCAGCGGTACCCACGGCTTCCACAGGAGGCGCTCCCGGGACGATCCCGGGAGGCTGCTCCTAAAGCGAGAAGCCGTGCAGAAAAGGACGCAGAAGGGGCCGGCAGGTGGGGCTGGGTGGCCCAAGGGGCGGCTTGGCGCTGCTCCTTACGAGGAGCTGACCCCCTCCCCATGGCGTGCGGATGACACCCCCCTCCCTCCTCCTCCCCCCCCCCCACGCCCCAATCCTGAGTGGCACCAAATTTGAAATTTCTGCCGAGGCTCCTAAAGGCGACGCGCGGCGGGAGCGCGATCAAAAGTCGCCTCGGCTGCGCACGGGGAAATCCCGGCTGCCCGGGCGCGCCGAGGGGAGAGCTGGCCGTTGCCTGGCGAGGCGAGGGGCGCAGAGGCACCCAGGGCTGGAGGAAGAGGAGGGCGCCGCCTGGGTCCCTCCGTCGCTGCCTCGCGCTTTGGAGAGGCCGCCTCCTCCTCCTTCGCGCCTCGAGTCTCCAAGACCCCAAGTTAGTTCTCCTGCGGTTCTTTTTTTGCGCTCTCCTTCTTTCCTCCGCCCTCCCCGCGCCCCCTTTTCTCCATTCGTCTTCCGCATCTCCATCTCCCCTTTCTGCACGTTTCCAGCTCTGGCTGTGGATCTGCTTTTTCTTGCTCCGATTCGCCCACCCAAGTCTCTCTCGATCCTCCTAGCCGGGGTTTCTCGCATCCTCTCCGCTTCTCCGGCCATTCCGTTTCTCCGAGCTGTTCCTTGGCTCGCCCAGCGACTACCAGGCTGCAGCTTTGAATGTCTTCGTGATCCTGCTGAGATCTCTCTCTCTCCATCTCCATCCTTTCTGCATCCTCCTGCCCCTTGTGATTCTCTCCCGCCCAACCCCCTTTCCTCACCTTCCTCTCTGCGTTCTCCAGTTGAACTTCTGCCTGTCTGCCTACTTTGACCTGCCTGCCCGCCGGTCCACCCATTTCCTCTCCTCCTGCCCAGCCATCCTCCCGCCGCCGCCGCCCCCCAGCCCCCTTCCCAGGCTGCGTCTCCCGTCCCCTCCTTCGCCTCCGTCTGCTGCTGGTCCCCAGTCGGTCGGTGCGCTCGCTGCCTGGGGTGCGCGCCTCCGCCGCCTGCGATGCAGCCACTCGCCGCTGCCAACCGCTCGCTCGTGCCCCCTCCCTGCCGAATGCAGCTCGTACACACACACACACGCACACCCTCACTCACACGCACACACACACGCGGCGCCGGGAGGGAGGGAGGCAGCGCGGCACAGTCAGACGGGCGAGCCAAGGGGAGCGATGAGGATCGGCGCCGTCGGGGGCAACGGGAGCCCTCTCGCCCACGCACGGGGGGCAGCCCGGCACCCCACAGCCGGACACCCCTGGCCCCGCACCGGGGTTTGCGGACGCTCCGCCGCTGCCTGCTCCCGGGACAGAGCCAGCACCCAGGGGGTAAGAGGATGGAGATCAGCGACCCGCGGCACGTCGCCCCACGGATGTGCCCCTCTGCCCTCCTTGCCCCATGGGTTCGCCACCCACCTCCCCACGGGGACACCTCTTTCCCCCGAATGTGGCCCTTTCCCGCCACAGATTTGCCCTTCCCCATCCCTTGATTGCCTGCTTCTCCCCCCCTCCCCCCTCCACGCCCTGTGCTAGAGATTTGCCTGCCCCTTTCTTAATTTCCATCCCACGCTCCCCAAATCTTGGGGAAGGGGGGGTTGTTCTTTTTTTAAAATTTCACGTTGTTTACTCCTGTCTACAAAGCGATGTAGATTCACTACCGCCCTCGCCAAACCAAATTGAAGAGAAAAGGGTTTGAGGGTCGGAGATTTCAGGAGACAAAGGGTTAATGGGAAAGTTTGTTCGGACCCTGAACCCCTTCCTCTCCACCCTCTTTCTCTGGGGCTGCCTGCTTGCTCGCAGGGAGAGCCCCTGCTCACTCTCCAGGCACCCTTGCAGCTTGCTTTGCCAAACTCCTTGTTGTGTTGCCAAATTCCTGCTCTGCCAAACTCCTTCTTGACAAAACCTTTGCTCTCTTCTTTGACACAGTATTATTAACTGCTCTCATACTCTCTTCCTTAAATGTCCCTTCAAACTCCTTTCCCAATATGAAACTAGCCCTGGCTCCTCCAGCCACCCAACCTCCAATTCAAAGCAGCTTAGAACTGGAGGGAGATTACTTAGAAGTAGCTGATCTCAAGTAACCACCCTGTTCTTAGATCCCATCATCCTGCCCAGTCCGTGGATCCCCATTTCTTGCCCCCAAACAGAGGAGGGGTTCTGGGTCTCAAGTTGCTCATCCCCTAACAGCTACTGTGATGGATATTTCACATAAAACCTTTCTTGTTTTCAGCTTTTGAAACTTGGCTAGTTTATAACTTCAGAACTGCCGCATTCAGTCCAAAAATTGCAGCCTTGCACACTATTATTTCTCTCGCATAGTTTTACTTCTCTCTCTCTTCCCTGTCTCTCTTTTTCCCATTATCACAGCATTGTGTAATCTACCCCTGTGGCCATATCAACTGAGACCCCTTCTCTGACTCTGCTCCCACACCAGGAATACTTTCTCTCTTCCTATACATTCTCTCTCCTGCCAGGAAGAAAGAATTAGTGGAGCAGCAGCAGCAGCAGCAGCAGCAGAGGAATACAGCACTCGTACATTGCAGATTTTCAGAGGGGAGTTTCCGCTGTTGTTCACAATGCACAGAGCCACATGGGCTGAACATCAGAGAGACCGTGGGCAGCATGATCACACTTACCTGCATTGCCTTCCTTTGACCTCTGCCCACAACTCCTAAAGTTATCAGCACTGACAGTAAGGAGGCATCTTGCCTGGGAAAACCCTGGATGCTGTTTGACTGGGAGGCGTCTAGGTCTATGGGGCTTGCTAACATCCATTGAAAAGACCTTGGCTGGGGAGAATAACATCCTTCGTTCTTGGGGAGACCTGGATTTTTATGTCTGAGACAAGAACTAGACTGGATGACGGGGCCCTCTGCTCCATTGATTCTTGGCGATAATTGAGCAAAGAAACGTTTTCAAGAAGGCTTTCAGAGAAAGCCTCTTTATCAAAAGCTTTTCCTGGGACAATACTTAGAGCACAGTTGAGTTTGGATGGTGAGACATTTTAGCAAAGGTTCTGTTATCTACTAACTGTGTACAACATGGCCGCAGGGGTGGCAACATGGCTGCCCTTTGCCCGGGCAGCAGCTGTGGGCTGGCTCCCACTGGCCAAGAAGCCCATGCCCAAGCCTCCTGCTGACAAGAAACGCCGCAGCGATGAGATCTTGGTAGTCAACGTCAGCGGGAAACGCTTCCAGACTTGGAAGAACACCTTGGACCGTTATCCGGATACCCTGCTGGGCAGCTCAGAGAAGGAATTCTTCTTTGATGAAGACAGCAAGGAGTACTTCTTTGACCGGGACCCAGAGATGTTCCGCCATATCCTCAACTTCTACCGCACTGGCAGACTCCATTACCCCCGCCAGGAGTGCATACAGGCCTTCGATGAAGAGCTGTCATTCTACGGCATCATCCCAGAGCTCATCGGCGACTGCTGCCTGGAGGAATATCGCGACCGCAAGAAGGAGAATGCCGAGCGCCTCGCTGAGGATGAAGAAGCAGAGATGACCAATGACACTGGCCTGCCACCGGACAGCACCTTCCGCCAGCGGCTCTGGAGAGCGTTCGAGAACCCGCACACCAGCACCATGGCTTTGGTCTTCTATTATGTGACTGGGTTCTTCATTGCCGTGTCAGTCATTGCCAATGTGGTGGAGACCATCCCATGCCGGCCCTCTCCTGGGAGGAAGAAGAACTTGCCCTGTGGAGATCGGTTCCCCAAGGCTTTCTTCTGCATGGACACAGCTTGCGTCCTCATCTTCACCTTTGAGTATCTCATGCGCCTCTTTGCCGCCCCAAGCCGATTCAAGTTCATGAAGAGCGTGATGAGCATCATTGACGTGGTTGCCATCATGCCCTATTACATTGGGCTGGTGATGCCAGAAAACGAGAATGTCAGCGGGGCCTTCGTGACGCTAAGGGTGTTCCGCGTCTTCCGTATCTTCAAGTTCTCACGCCACTCGCAAGGGCTGAGGATCCTGGGATACACCCTCAAGAGCTGTGCCTCTGAGCTGGGCTTCCTGCTCTTTTCGCTCACCATGGCCATCATAATCTTTGCCACCGTTATGTTCTATGCTGAGAAGGGCACTGCTTCCACCAACTTCACCAGCATCCCTGCTGCCTTCTGGTACACCATCGTCACCATGACCACACTTGGGTGAGTTGTGCACATCCTTGACATAATCCCCAGAGGCCTGGCCTTGGTTCCCCACCAACGCAACATTATTCCCCTGCACTCCTGGAAACCTCATTTCCAGAATCCCCACGTGGACCTCTTGATGGCTGTGCCACACACTAGCACCCTTGCTTTGTCCAAAAGCACCTCTGATCCAGACTGGTCCCAGACAATGGGATTTGAGGGCTTTCCCATAGAGGTATGTTAGCTCAATGAGACAACTGAATCCATTGGTGCACTAAAGTCACTTTAGACTCTTGGCCTTATGGAAAAGCCCCTCTTGAGATGGTGGTGTGCATTACTTACCTTACCTCGACATGTGGTAAACCAGCCTTGCTGCATTCAGAGGCCCTCCTGCTCATTCTGCTGAGTGGAGCCCTGGACCTCTGCCCTGAAGTCCTGCTCTGGTGGCACCAGCATAGACGGCCTCTCCCTTGTTCCAAGTTGGAAATAAGTTCCAAGTGCTTAGGAGATGGATAAGCATGGAGACCATACACAGAGCTATGCTGGGAAAGCAGGGTTCTGTTCAGCTGGAAGTGGGCCATCTCTCTTTCCTTTAATGTTTTGACATTAAAGTCAAGCATTCTGTGAACTGGGTCTGCCTAGCTTTCTCTCAGCCACCAAAACAGAAAACCGGTCCAGATTTCTGACAGTCCCCAAGTGGGGAAAAGAACATGGCCCCTCATACCTGAATGGTCTAGGTAGCTGTGTGGCACTGTCTTGCAAGAAGCCCTTCAAAAAGTGTTGTGCAAGATGGGGAGGTGCCCAGAAGGGAACCAGCAAGGGGTGGGGTGGTCTGCTGGTGCCAAGGAAGCAGGGGCAGTGAAGAGAAATATGGGTGGGGGTGGGAAGAAGAGTCAGATTGCGGGAAAGGGCTGGGAACGCAGGGACTAGGGAGCATTTTCCAAGGAAAGAGAAGCACTTTTGTGTCTACTATGGGTGAGAACTTTATCATGCCCCTCCCAAAATAACATTTCCTTCAGTGCAATGCTCATACCCTCCCTTTCCCCTACGGTTTTCTGGCATGCTTGGACTGCAAGCAGTTGCTGTGCTGTTTTGTAGCACTGGTATTCCCTGTTCAGATTTCATGCTGGAATCCTGAATTTGGATATATTCATTTTAGCATGGTTCCCTTCCTGCGGAAAAATCAAATACTGATTTGGGTGTTTGTAGTTGTGTGTGGTGCATGTCTGATCCTCAGAAACTGGTACAGTATTGGAATTCTGGCATTTCAGAATGTTGGCCGCCTCCAGGGATTTGCTTTCCTGGGCCAATTGACTGCCTCACTTTTTGTCTGGACTCTGCTGGATATCTTCCATGACATCAGAACAAGAGTAGAAAATCTGGTGTCTCATCAGATTTCTACATAATGTTTCACTTTCCAGTTTATTTCAGGGCTCTGTTAGGGTTGCATTACCCTCTTCCCTGAGGCTACCATAAGATAGTATGAGGACTATTAATATTGTGCCATTCAGTAAAAGACAAGCCCCTGCCCCAAAGAGTTTACAGTACCAATTTAGAGAGCCCGAAGGGGCAACAGAAGGACAGGAGGAAGCAGCGAGGGATGAATGCAATGTGTGTTTCTGTGGGGGGAATTATTTGGAATGTTTTGTGTGCTAGATTTGCAGACAGTGTTTTTGGAGGCTCTGCAACCAAGGATGATTAACAAAGGGCTTTCTTGTACCCCATATATTAATGAAGCATCCATCACTGGCGCCGTCTATTTCTGCATGGCCCGCAAGTGGATTCCCAACTGAACGAGGATGTTTTATTGTTATTGGGAGGTGTCAGGGGTTCAGTGTTGAATCAAAGTTGGTGAGATTTAAAACCCATCAGCTTCCATCTGGGAGAGATTATAACAGTGCACTGAGACTGTAGGAGGCCTGCAATTTGCTTCACTTCTCACCCTTTCTTTGAGAAACTCCAAGAGAGGGGAGCACGGGGGTTACCCGCTCCCCATTTTATCTTTACAACAACCCTGTGAGGTAGGTTTTTGCTGAGGGAAGTGCCCCTGGCCCAGAGTGAGCTTGATGGCAACACTCTAACCACTATGCCCTACTGCCTTGGGAGCATCTCAGTGCTGCTTGAAGGAAGGAGTAGAGATGGATCTTGACTGTGAGAAAAAGGAATCCGTAAGGCAGAACTGGGGAACCTCCCGGTGATGCTGAACTATCCCTGACCACTGGACGTGCCAACTGGGGGTGGTGGGAGCTGAAGCCCCCCACATTTGGAGGGGAGCAGGGTCCTGTCTACAAATCAGAGAGGAATGGGATCTGAACAGATAGACAGGTGCTGGCAGCTGAGACATAATGCTTGCCCATCTAGGGTTCCTGGGTCTCCGGGTGTTGTGTTATGGGTTTTGACCTCTTTCTCAGAGTTTCCAGGCAAAGGAGTAAAATGCAATTTCTCTCAGTGCCCATCCCATATGAAAAAATAAAGTGGGGTGCCACTGCTTTACCAAAAGTGCTATAAAGTTATAATGCAGCAGATGGTACTGCCTGGCTTGAGCTCTTGCTGGCGGCTAGATCCCACTTCCCTGTCCATCAACTGCCATACCAGACGTGCCACCGGCAGATCCTGCCACCCATCCCACTAGGTGCAAGCCGCAGCCTCCTCTGGCCTTGCTGCCCCCCCCACATCTAGATGCAACCCCTGCTTTTCCAGGCACTTTGCACATGCTCAGAGATACTTTTCGCACGTGCTCTGCTCTTCCAAACAGATGCAAGGACCAGGCTAGGTTATGGCTTAGAATTCGTCGTCGAAGGGAGGGAAGCGACAAGATAAGGAATTTGCGGGGTACCAGCTGGCCTCTGTGAATGTTTTCTGGCCTGCTTCCGATCAGGGAATGAATGAATAAATGAATGAATGAATGAGCAATTTCCCAGATCGCTGGACGGGTGGGAGGGGGCTATTTATTATCCTACCAATTGGAACTGCTGCTCTGCTTGAGGCTGAGAGAGTCTGGATGATGGATGAGCTGAGGAAGCCATTGGAGGTGACTTCCGATCTTCTGCACCCCAAAGGGGAGGCTGCGGTTCAGTGAGGCAATAGGCTATAGGGCTATAGGGCAGAAGGAGCACGCTTGTTCAGAGACACTCCGGAGTATGCTCCCCTCCCCAATGAACCAGCATTCCTCTGCAGTGGCTTTTTCTGCACATTTCAAGCCAGTGAAGGGAAACCAGTTCCTGCAGAGCTGGGACAAACTGAGGCTTGGTTTGGAAATCCAGATTAAAGGCTGGGGCTCTGGGTCAGGATTGATGGGAGCTCACGGCAGAGGAGCAAGCGATAAACAGGTGGCAACCGGTTAGGATGGAAAAAGGAATCATCTTTCTTTTACACATTGCCCTGTCCAAACTTAATGAGAATCCACTGGTTGCTATAACATTTCCCCAGTGTCAGCAGCTGAGCTAGCAAGAACTCTTGGCTCCCCCCTTCCCCAGCCCCCACTAGGCCTCTGCTGAGAACTACAATCCTCAATAAATCCAAGCCACAATTCCCGAGCCCTTCCTCATCCTCTCCCAGCCCTCAGAGCTGAGGTATATCGAACCTTGGGAGCCCTGGTTCCTGCCCCTTCTCTCCTCTCCTGAAACCCAGCAGTTCCCATTATTGGGAAGCTTTAATTAGCTGCCTTGTTCCCATCCGCTCAATTAAGTTTTAATAACTCGCCTGTGCGTGTGCCAGCGAGGCACCCGCTGTCTGCAAACCACCACCCCAGTTCCCAGCATTGATGAGCTGCCTGTGCAATACACCCTGAAGCGCATTAACGAACGGCGGCTTCTGCTTCTGCTGATGTCCCTTTTCCACAAAAAAGAGGGGCCTAAAGGTGCCCTGGCCACTTTCAACCCCCCCTAACACCCCACACTGGAACTGAGCCACAAAGGCAGATGTCCTGGGCATCCTCTTCCACAACCCACCCCCCTCCGCTCCGAATAAAGTCTCTTTTGTGTCTCACTGCAATCTTTGCTGGCTCTTCTCCATCTTGCCCTCCTGCATCGCTTCCCCTTTATGCTGGGTGAGTGCAGACTGGCCTTTAGCAGTTTGATACCTTGGCGCTGTGGTTAAACCACAGAGCCTAGGACTTGCCGATCAGAAGGTCGGCGGTTCGAATCCCCGCGACGGGGTGAGCTCCCGTTGCTCGGTCCCAGCTCCTGCCAACCTAGCAGTTCGAAAGCACGAAGTGCAAGTAGATAAATAGGTACCACTCTGGCGGGAAGGTAAACGGCGTTTCCATGTGCTGCTCTGGCTCGCCAGAAGCGGCTTAGTCATGTTGGCCACATGACCCGGAAGCTGTACACCGGCTCCCTTGGCCAATAAAGCAAGATGAGTGCCGCAACCCCAGAGTCAGTCACGACTGGACCTAATGGTCAGGGGTCCCTTTACCTTTACCTTAAGCTGTCAGAATATTAACATTGGCTCACTATCATCATGACAACCACCGAGGGCCGCAGCTCCTTTGGCCTAACAGTGGCAATTCCCGATTCCTCATCCATGAGCCACCACGTGCCCTTCCCTTTCTCTACCCTTTGCTTCACTCCTAATGGCGACCAGCCCCATCTCAGTTCTGCCTCCTGCGGAGTGCCTTGCAGTAGGGCTGGCACGGCCTAGGGCGCTGGTTGTTGCACCTCACAAAAACCCGAAGATCTGAGTCAAAAGCCAACGCAGTCATGGAGTTGTACGTTCAAAGCACTCTGGTATCACCTTAACAGTCATGGAGAATCCCGGGAGCTGTTATTTGTTATGGGTCTTTGAGGTCAGCACCCAGAACAAATGGCAGCTCACAGGATGCTTTGAAGGAAGCCATGACTGGTAGAAAAGTCTTGGGCAAGTCCAATTTCATTGCCTCCATCTGTAATACAAGTGAACTCCCTCCATCTGTAACAGTGAATTACCTCACATTTTAATACAAATTTTGTCTCTGTGTGTGTGCATGCACAGCAGTGTGGAGTAGTGGTCAGAGGGTTGGACTAGTACCTGGGAGACGAGATT